TCTCAAAAAGAAAGAAAAAAAAAGTCGAAATATGGCTCAGCACCTATAGCACAGTGGTTACAGTGCCAGCCACATACACTGAGGCTGGTGGATTCAAACCCAGCCTGGGCCAGCTAAACAACAATGACAACTGCAACAAAATAAATAGCTGGGAATTCTGGTGGGGGGTACTCGTAGTCCCAGCTACTTGGGAGGCTGAGGCAAGAGAATCACTTGAGCCAACAGTTTGAGGTTGCTATGAGCTGTGATGCCACAGTACTACTCTACCAAGGGTGACAAACTGAGACTGTCTCAAAAAAAAAAAAGCCCAAATATGTTTTATTAAAATAATACAGATTTGTAATTAATAAAGCAAATTCCAAATATTTGAACCAGCCTCTAATAATTTTAGAATTATAACAGAACACAGAAAAAGATGTCCCGGGCACTGTCTTGTTCACATTCCTTCAACTAATGCTTGTTCAGAAGCCGGTACGCACTCAGCCATAAGACCAACCAGCCCTGGTGACCAGGAGTCTATGGCCTGGGACACAGGGACACAGTGGCAGGTGCTCAGGGAGGCCTCGCCTGCAGCTCCTCACCTGTGGACACGCTCCAGCTCCAAGCGAAGCTCCTGAAGCCGGTGCTGGTGCTGCTGCTGTAGCTCCTCTGCCCGCCTGGCCTCCTGGGCCAGCGTTTGCTTCAGCTTGGCCACCTCTATCTTGAGCTCGCTCACCTCCGCTTGCCGGGCCTCATCCCGGGCCCTGGCCTGGGCAAAGGCAGCCTCATAGTGCTCCAGCTCCAGGTCCCGCTCCTCCAGCACCTGTAGGTTGTAGACAAAGTCTTCCTGCAGACGCTGCAGCTTCCTCTGCGCGTCCTCCAGCTGGCTGTGTGTGTCCTGCAGGGCGGCCTCCTGTAGCCGAGTGCGGTGGGCCTGCAGGGCCCGCCACTCCTCCTCCTTGCGTGCCAGCAGCTCGTCCACAGCCTGCTCTGAGCATGTCGGCAACATGGTGGCGGCTGCAGCAGAGGGAAGAAGCACAGGGCAGTGAGGATCTCTGACTTCCTTCTACACACCCACTTCATAGCCCCTTTCTATAGTCACCTTGGTCACAGAAACAAGGTCTGGTCACACCCTGAATTCTGGAACAGGTAAGGCCCAGACCTTGAGGGCCCCTTCTACCCATTCGTATCCTGTTGCAGAAGGATCAGGGGCAGTAAATCTGGAGGGAAGATGGGAAACACGTCTGTGTGGCTGTGAGAGCAAGGACCTATGACACAGCTTTAGGAAGCCTCAGTTTTTGCAGCTAAGAAGACAGAGGCTGACGAGCAGCTGAGCTAGGATTGAGGGCAGGCCAGCCTTACAGAGCCAGCCTCCCACCAATATCCTACTTCTGGAGCCAGAACCTGGGAGATTCACTACCCAAGAGTAGGTCTCTTTGTTCTTTTATTTCCAGTCCATCATGATTTGATATTTTAGTTAAACAAATAAGATGAAATGCTAAGAAAACAAAATTTAAAAATAAAAATAAAGGCTTGGCACTTGTAGCTCAGTGGCTAGGGCACCAGCCATATACTGTGGCTGGAGGGTTCGAACATGGCCAGGCCTGCCAAACAACAATAACAAACAAGCTGGGTGTTGTGGCAGGTGCCTGTAGTCCCAGCTACTCTGGAGGCTGAGGCAAGAGAATCACTTAAGCCTAGGAGTTTGAGGTTGCTGTGAGCTGTGATGCCATAGCACTCTACTGAGGGTGACAAAGTGAGACTCTGTCTCAAAATAAATAAGTAAAAATAAGTGAATAAAAATAAAAATAACCAGGTATTATGGTGGGCACCTGTAGTCCCAGCTACTTGAGAGGGTGAGGCAAAAGAATCACTTAAGCCCAAGAGTTTGAGGTTGCTGTGAGCTGTGACACCACAGCACTCTACCAATAGTGACATAGTGAGACACTGTCTCAAAAAAAAATCAACAAAAATATACAACTCCAATTTTTTCATTGTTAGATTCAATAGCGTAAAACTATTTAGACAAACCGCCAAGAAGTATCTAAAAACCTCTCCCTCTCCATCTCCCTCCATCTCTGTGTACCAAGGAAATGGCCATACAAGGCGGGGACTGCTGGTATACACAACCACACCTGAGGGCCTGCTCCTCACCAGGGCATGCTAGAGACTGTCACCTGGGTCAGGTCCTAGTCCCATCACTTGGCAGAGAAGGGGTAGTTTCTGGTGTACAGAACCACTTAGCTAAGGACTCCTTGGCTTGACTTATGCAAACTGACCCAAGGGCACTCACAGAAAAAGACCTAAGTCCACCAGTGCTGGGTACTACACACCAGGCAACGTGGCCAGGCTGTGCAAGTTGGGGCACGAAACTTCTTGTTGTCTTTTGGAGAAGGTGGTACCTAACTGACGCCCTTCACTGAAGAGTGTTTCTCGAGGGTGGGAGCAGAAATCTGATGAGGCACCTGGAGTGCATCCCAAAGAAGCAACATGCCCAACTCTTTCCAAGTGGCTCTTCTTTAAGAAGGAAAACCCTACTGTCTCAGGTCACCCCAACCCACACACAGAGAACCTGCTAGGTGAGGGGCATGGCGCATGGGAAAGGCTCCAGGGCCACCTGCTTCACACTGGCCCAGGTACCTCCACTGGCTCAGCACAAAGCAACAGTCACAGACACACACTCAGAAACAGGATGAGAGCCCAAGGGTTTTAGTTTGTTGTTGTTTCTTTTACATGAACTCTAGAATTCATAAGCCAGCAATCAGGCTCTAGATCAGCAAATAAGCCTATTAAGAAAATGAAGGTCATTTCATTCCTAGAAACTAGTAACTAAAACCAACAACAAAAAATTAGCTACATAGTCAAAAATACTACTACAACATCTTGATAACGAAATGAGAAAAATTAAAAAGAGAAATTGCCAAAATAGTATGGACTAGTATTGGGCAAATCCCAAATACTCCATCAAGACTAAAGGACCAGGCTCGGCGCCTATAGCTCAACGGGCTAAGGCACCAGCCACGTACACCTAAGGTGGCGGGTTTGAATCCCCAGCCCGGACCCGCCAAAACAACAATGA